CAGGGTGCACGGGGAGATGCCCCGCGGTGGCCTCGTGGGACGATGGCACACCCAGCACGGGCGCAAAGGGGAGATGGTGCAGAGCAGCTTTGCATAACGGGGGTGAGAGGGGGTCCCCGGCACCGTGCCAGCTGCGTGGGGTGTCACGCAGGCGTCCTTTTCATCCCCCGGCTTTGCCATCGCCATCCTGGCTGGCGCCAGCGGGCATTGGTGTCGCCAAACTGTTGGGACCAGCGGTGGGTGCTGGAGGGACCCTGTGTGCCGCCCAGCAGCGTGTGGGGCCGTATCCGGCTGCAAAACGCTGGTGCTTGCTCTGCACCCGCTGCAGGCATGCAGAGGGTGAGAGATCCCTGCGTGCCACGTCCCCTGGAGGGACAAGGGACAGCTTTTGTCCCTCTGTGTATTTTCAGACAGGGATGTCACCGCAGGCAGCACTGCAGCCGATCTGCTGGCAGCTCCCGAGGGGATGCGATGGGGCAGACCCAGCCTGGGCTCCAGCATCTATTTTTTGCCACGTTTTTTCTCAGCTGGATTGCCAACTCCTGTGTTGCAGTGAGAAAAAAAAGGCAGGTTTGGAGGATTTTTGCAACTTCCGCCCCCCGCACCCCGAGTGGTTGCTGCTGCCTTAAAAGCAGGGTCCTGAAAATGAGGAAATGCGGGGCCGGCGCAGGAGCCGGGCTGGCCCCGGCGAGGAGCACGGAGGAGCTGTGACCTGCTGGCCCTGGCACCTGGAGAAGCCCCCAGCCCCGCCGTCCCGTGCCCAGGTAACCCCTGCCCCGTTGTCCCCCTTCCCCACACAGTGGGGGTGGCAGCAGACCCCGTCCCCGGGCTGCGGGCACCTGTGGGGTGGCTTTGCGGGTAGCCAGCGGGATGGCAGCTTGGTGCCATCAAATCTCGGTGCAGAGCAAACGCCGCCGGGCTCCCGGCTGCCTGGCACAGCCGCTGCCTGCCCCGAAATGGCGGTGGGTGCGTCGTCCTGCGTGGGCTGGGGTGCGCTGGGCTCCCTCGCTCGCCACCCCCACATCTCTCCCCCGCCCCCCAGCATTTGAAAATGAAAAACGAGGAAGGAAGGCTCGGCGGACGCTTGCTGCCGGTAGCAAGAAGCAGAGCTGTTTTCACTTCTTTCTTCTCCCTCTTCTTTTCGCTGCCCTCTTGGTTATCAGTGAAGCGGCCCAGAGCGGCGGGTGGGTGGGTGGCATGGCCCTCGCCCTGGCTCCCCTCCTCCCCAGGCTTCCCCGCGCCTGGATCAAGCTGCTGATTGATTTTTCCGCTCATAAACGGCCCCGATTGGGAAATAAACAGACACGAGGGAGCGGGGTTGGGCAGGCGGCTGGCTCCTTGGTGCAATGAGTTGGGGGGTTCTCAGCTCAGTCATTACTCCCCTCTTCTCCCTCCAGCTTTCAAAGGAGCGGGCAGGAGATGCGTTGTGCTTGCAGGGGGGGGTGTGTGTGCACCCGTACGTTGCAGGCAGGACGGGCAGCGCGGGTGCCACTTCCCTGTGGGCTGCCTGGCGAGGGTAACGCGATCCCCCCCTTGCATTTCGCAGGGGCTAAATCTGGAAACTGCCTCACGGCAGCTTTTATTTCTAACCCACACCTGGGCGCAGCGATGCGCTTGGGGAGGAGGTGGTGGGGTGCTGCGTGGGTGCGGGGACGATGGTGCGGCTCCGGGTGTTTTGTTCTGTGGTGGTGGCGGTGGGGTGCTGCGTGGGTGCGGGGACAACGGTGCGGCTCCGGGTGTTTTGTCCCTTTGGGGTGGTGGTGGGGTGCTGCGTGGGTGCGGGGATGACAGTGTGGCTCCGGGTGTTTTGTCCCTTTGGGGTGGCAGTGGGGTGCTGCGTGGGTGCGGGGATGACAGTGTGGCTCCGGGTGGTTTGTCCCTTTGGGGTGGCAGTGGGGGCCCCGCGCTGTTG